GTTACTAGTAGCTTCTTGTTCCTAGTAGCTACTTGCTCCTAGTAGTACGGCCAGGAGCCCCTAGTAGGGTCCTTGCTAGTAGCGATGCCAGGAGCCCCTAGTAGCTTATGAGACGCATTTTTGGAGATGAGAGCCTTTTTCCAGTTTCTTAGCTCAAAGCGTGTCATGGAAACACCGTTGAGTGATCGCAATGCAGGCATGTCAGCTGCAAACACCGTTGTGGAGAATGGGGGCCGTGTCGTGCTGTTGGACAAGTCCTCCTTTTGCGGTGGCAACTCCACCAAAGCCACCTCAGGAATCAATGGTGCAGGCCGGTGGGCATGACATGGCATGACTGGCAAGGGAAGTTGTTTGGCTTTGACTCGAACTCTCAGGAACCAAGACGCAGAAGGCAAAGGGAATCCCAGACAATGCGGAGATCTTTACTCAGGACAGAAGCTTGTAGCTGGAAGGACTCTGGAAGCACAAAGGAGGGTTCCGAATGATGAGGACACCCTCAAGGGTGGTGCAAAAAAGCCAGAACTTGCCAAGTGCCTGGGCAGAATAGCTGCTGTAAAGAATCCAGGATAGATTGAAGATTTTGGAACCGGCTTTGGTTGTTTCTTGTTGGCCTTCTTCAAGACCATTTATATAGATTCATTCTGATACCCTTCGGACGATTGGTGTGCTTTCGTCTGCAACCTTTCTGAGGCTGCTGTGTGTCAACAGCGCAGATGATGTTGAAGCTAGCTGGTACTTGAGTTCGTTCAATCCTGCTATATAAGTCTTGGCATCCGTTCTTTTTTTTGAAGAGTCCATCATTGCCAACTTGCCAATGCAATTTCGGAACCCAAGGACTGGCTGGTCGAGAAGTTCAACTTGGACCTGTCGCTAGTAGCACGCTTGGGTGGTCATTCACAGCCTCGTACTCATCGTGGAAAGGCGGGATACAAGATGAGAAAGAACACATATTCAATAATTGGAAAGCAGCTTTGGTTGGTGGCACCTTAGAGACTTGCTGGAGGAGCGATTTCCTGGCATGACCATCACCTATGCTCTCATTCAGATGTTGGAGAAGGCTGGTTTCACTGCCCATGGAGAGCCTCCAAGTGGCCCTTTGGCAGGTCGCTGAGAAGACGGATCTGGCGAAAATCGTCACCAAGGCGAAGGTCTACAAGCTTGACGCTTGAACAGAACTAGTGCCAATATGTGCCAATATAATGATATAATGTATACCTTGAACTCTGGCATGCAAAATCACTGGATATTCTTTACCCAGGTCACTGAGGGAAACGCATGTGTGGGATGCATCTATGAGAAGGGTGGGCAGAACTTTCAAGAGTTTGGCCCTGTGATCCTGGCTTCAGGCACCTGAGCCATTTTGATTTCACTCTTGCACAACTCAGTTGTGGTGCTGAGGGCAAGATTCATTCACCGTGCGACCGTTCGCAGACACGCTTTGCGTCGTCCCTCCAAGATTCTCTCGTTTTGACAGAGAAGACATGAGAGCAAGAAATCACGAAAGGTAGCCTGGTAAGGGCTACCTTGAGTTTGCTTTGCGAAGCAAAGGGACTGGCTTGAGAGCTTGCTCGGGACTAAAGATTGGTAGATCAATGTCTAACACCCCCACCCCCCCCCCCCCCCCCCTTGGATGAATGATTGATAAATCAATTGATTCGACCCCCCCCCCCTGAAAGGTAGAGCCTACTTGTACAGGTTCCACTCCAGTGGCCTATCTAGTGTGTCCATGCTTGACTGCCATAAGGCTCAAGGGATATAGGATAAGACTCTGCGTGAGCAAAAGACACTAGCGGTCTGCACCTCTACCGTGTACGCCCTAGTCACTCTTTCAGTGGTAGCGGAGCAGTGATCCTGGAAGACCCAGGTGAGCTCCTTTCCTAGGCATAGAATTGCTTGTGGGCAAACGGCCATGGATTGGTTTGACGACTGGGAAGAGCCTGATGCGGATGTGGCTTATGAGCCAGCAGCCTACGTGAATAGGCATGTGAGAAGAGAACCAGCAGCGATAGCTATGACAACACAGGTCACTACAAAGGTGCCCCCATCTTATGATGGAAAGACTTCATGGTTTTCCTATGAGGATGCCATAGACGATTGGTGTGATATCACCGAGCTGGAGGATGAGAAGAGAGGACCAGCATTGAGAAACCGACTAGAAGGAGAAGCAGCTGTATACAAGCGAGTTTTAGACAGAGATGCATTGAAGGCTAATGAGCCACCAGGAGCTGGAGTAGATTACTTCAAGAGAGTACTACGACCATATTTTGTGAAAGGATCCACCAATGTATTCCTGTATAGGTTCATGCAATTCGTGCGCTTCAATCGAGGATCAGCTGACATGATGAAATGGATGACAAGATTCCAGATTTTACTCCAAAGGCTTATGAGCAGTTGGATGGACATGTTAGAGCCAGTCACACAAGCGCATCCTCAGGTCCTAGCTCAGATGCAGGCTGATGCAGCGTTGACTGGAGTAGCTCCAACGGCAGAAAGGATTCAGGAAATCATGCAGACCATCAATGGCAATATGAGAACTTTTCATCAGAATGATTTTCCTTTGCGAGAAAATCTGATTGCCTTACTCATGCTGTCACTTGCAGATTTGTCTCAGGACCAGCGAAACACTTTGACTTCTTTGATGACTCATCGTGGTAGAGTCCTGCAGCAATACACCACAACAGAGTTGAGGACAGTTTTCATTGAGATGTTCTGCACAACAAAGACTTCAGTAGACAATCCTCTTATGCAGCCAACAGGTGCTGGAGGTAGAAGATCATTTCTCGTACTAGACGAAGGAGAACTAGATGGTACATTTGGCTATTGAGCCGAAGATGAAGAAGATGGAACAGAAGGATTCCTTGATGCCCTGGACGATGTCTTTTGGGTATATGATGAACAGAATTTCTCTTGGTTCCAGAGGAGATTCCAAGGAAGAAGAGCCAGAAAAGGCAAAGGAAAAGGTAGAAGAAAAGGAAAAGGAAAAGGAAGATCAGGCCGCAGATTTTTCAGACCTCGAGGAAAAGGAAAAGGAAAGAGACGAGGTAAAGGCCATTATGCTGATGAGCAATCGACAACTTATCCAGAAGAGTATTATGAAGAGAATCCTTATGAGGACACTTGGGAGTCAAATCAAGTAGCATATGATGCTATCATTGCCGAAGATATGAATGACTATCTTCAAGGAGAACATGAAGATGCCAATGACTTTTGGCAACAACTTGAAGAAGCATGGTTTTCCCACAAAGGAAAGGGAAAAGGCAAGAGAAAAGGCAAGAAAGGAAAAGGAAAAGATAAAGGAGATGGCAAACAAGATGCAAACTATGCAAATCAACAACAGCCACGTTCTTTACCTGCACCTTCAAGAACTTCACAAGCATCAGGAAGCAACCAAGGTTTCTTTGCGCATTGTGTGACAACGGTAGCTGAAGTCCATGACAGTGAGGTGGACTTGCTGTCAGGCATGATGACCTCATGCCAAGATGAAGCTGACTGTAATGTCAACAATGGTGAGACGATCTTCGATGACATGAGTGCCCCTGTGAGGTACTCTTTGTCAAAGGAGATGCTCACAGATGCTCCTGATGGCTTTGCGCTTATGAGCGCTGAGGAAGAAGTGAAAGAGATGCAGGCTATTTCATTGTTGACTGAAAATCGCTTCCCGCCAACTATTGCAATCCTGGACATTGGTTGCACTAGAGCTATGGGATCAAGGCGTGCAGTCGATTATTTTTGTAACTATGTTGACAATCATCCAGACTGTGGACTATGGTACTCTTTTGAGTCTACCAAGAGCAAGTTTTATTTTGCCAATTCTCAGAAGGCTTCTTGCTCTCAGAAACTGGTGATTTACATGTATGATCGTGCATGGACGATCCACCATACAGAGTTCGACATAGTTGAAGAAGGAGAAGTCCCTTTGCTTATGAGCTTGCCACAGATGAGGAACTTAGGCTTTGAACTCAGGCTGACACCTCAACATGCTTACCTGACATCGGTGCCTCTTGTTATCAAATTTTTGGAGTTGAAGGTTGCAGCCAGTACTCATCTTGTTTTGGACTTCCAAGATATTGCATGGTATCTGTCTGACGTGCGTTTGCAGGCTCGGCGCGAGAAGAGCTTTTACTCGCACTTCACTCACTATGAATATGGCCATATTTCTGTTGATCACAATAGTGATGAAGATGAAGCTGAGCATGCGTATCCTGTGGTTGACTACTGGGAAGTAGATCTTCACAAGAGAGAACTGACACGTCACCAGATTCTTTTCCCAGCAACTAAGTCATGTCCTGTAGACACTGACTTGCTGGAAGACTTGCGATTGACAATCATCAAGAAGAAAGAAGGTGGAGAAGAGATCAAGAAGACAGATGATTGGCGCAAGGCAAAATGGAAGGACCTACAAATTGGCTATGAATGGCGTGGTAGAACAATTTTTAAGTTCAAGCCAGATGCCAAAATTCCAGATCTAAAGATCAGGAAGGCTGGCATTGAGCACCGTGGCATTGGTGATCCCGATGCAGTGGTGCGCTCCTCCTCAGAGAAGGTTCCCATTGCAAAGGAGGGAACCAGGCTTCTCATCAGAGAAGGAAGGTGCACCATCCAGTGCCGCGGAAAAGCCTGTGCCGCCAAAGTTTCGGTATACATCCAAGGGTTTTGATCCATTTTGGAAAGGACACAAGTCGAAACCATCTGAGCCTCCAATTGATTTAAAGGGTGATGATCCTGAAGGGTATACTCCCTCAGAACCACCTGAGAGGCCAGAAGGTGAACTTGTAGAAATTCCTAAAGCATCAAAAGGACCATCAAGTGATAAACATGAACCACTTGAACCAGGTGAATGCACTCTTGAGCCTAGGCGGATTTCAATCCCATTACCTGGTAGTGAAGTTGTTGCAATGACACCGGCATATAGGAAGATGTTGCAGAGACTGGAGGACAAGGTAGAGCTTTATAAGCTGCATGTGAAGCACTACCATATGAGTCCTACTCAGTTTCGTAGACGTGTTTCTATGTTGAAGCTTCCTGACTCTGTTTTAGAGAAGTATGAATCAGTTGTCAGGAACTGCCGTGTTTGTAACACTTCAGTGGCACCTCCGCCACGAGCCAGAGTCTCCGGTATTAGAGCTTCATGTTTTGGTGATGTTGTTTTTGCTGATCATTGTGAGGTTGAACTTCACAAGAACAAGTATATCATTCTACTTGTTCTTGATGGTGCCACAAATCTTCTCTGGGCTACGGCACAGAAAGACCTTATAGATCAAACCACCATCCAAGCATTGAGGCAGTGGTCTGATGAGAACAATTGTGTTCCGAAGGCCATCGTAGGAGACGAAGCCTTTTTCACAGATGCTTTTGTTGAATACTACAGGTTTCATGGTATACAACAATGTCCTTGTGGGCCAAGAACTCCTTGGCCGAACCGAGCAGAGACAGCTGTACGTTTGTTCAAACGTATGTGGCATGTTATGAAAGTAGATCTGGACGACCCACGTTTTCGTGGTGTTACGGTCAGAGAAGTGGTCAAGAAAGTAGTGTGGGCAAGAAATTGTCAGTTGACTATCAGTGGATACTCACCAATAGAGATAGCAACTGGAAGACGTCCACCAGATCTTTTTTGACCTTGAGACCGCAAGCCCTGAGCAATTGTCAGCTGATGCAGCAGCACAAGATCGTACAAATCTGGAACTACAACGTGTAGCCTTGAGAGCTCATCAAGAAGCACGACAAGCTCAGGACCTTCGAGCAGATCTTGCAAGAAGGACTATGCCAAGTGACGGCCCCTATTTCCAAGGTGAGAAGGTTTTTATTTGGACTCAGGATTCATCAAAGTTCAAGGATGAAGGACGTTGGGTTCGTGCCACAGTACTTGGACAAGAAGGAGCTATGGTCCAAGCCAACACTGGTAAGGCAGTAGTACGTGTGAATCAGTCAAAGGTTAGACGTGATCACGATGAGTGGCATGATGTTTCCATACCGGCATTAGACGATGAGAATCCGGAGAACTTACGTGAAGATCACGAACTGTATGTTGATGCCGAATTCGGAGAACAGTCTTTTTTCTTTTGTAATGATGACTATCCTGATGTTGTTGAGTTACTTCATGGAAACAGTGGATTATCTTGGTTCCTTTTTTCAAAGAATGGTGTTAGAGTTGCATCTCCTATGGATT